TTTATTTTTCTTTATTTTTATTTATTTTTATTTATTTTTATTTATTTTTATTTATTTTTATTTATTTTTATTTATTTTTATTTATTTTTATTTTTATTTATTTTTATTTTTATTTATTTTTATTTATTTTTATTTATTTTTATTTATTTTTATTTATTTTTATTTATTTTTATTTATTTTTATTTATTTTTATTTATTTTTATTTATTTTTATTTATTTTTATTTATTTTTATTTATTTTTATTTATTTTTATTTATTTTTATTTATTTTTATTTATTTTTATTTATTTTTATTTATTTTTATTTATTTTTATTTATTTTTATTTATTTTTATTTATTTTTATTTATTTTTATTTATTTTTATTTATTTTTATTTATTTTTATTTATTTTTATTTATTTTTATTTATTTTTATTTATTTTTATTTATTTTTATTTATTTTTATTTATTTTTATTTATTTTTATTTATTTTTATTTATTTTTATTTATTTTTATTTATTTTTATTTATTTTTATTTATTTTTATTTATTTTTATTTATTTTTATTTATTTTTATTTATTTTTATTTATTTTTATTTATTTTTATTTATTTTTATTTATTTTTATTTATTTTTATTTATTTTTATTTATTTTTATTTATTTTTATTTATTTTTATTTATTTTTATTTATTTTTATTTATTTTTATTTATTTTTATTTATTTTTATTTATTTTTATTTATTTTTATTTCTTTTTATTTATTTTTATTTATTTTTATTTATTTATATTTATTTTTATTTATTTTTATTTATTTCTATTTATTTTTATTTCTTATTTTTATTTAATTTATTTTCTTACTTTTACATATTTTTTGTTCATTCATATTTATTATTATTTATTTTTATTTATTTATATTTATTTTTATTTATTTTTATTTATTTCTATTTATTTCTATTTATTTCTATTTATTTCTATTTATTTCTATTTATTTCTATTTATTTCTATTTATTTCTATTTATTTCTATTTATTTCTATTTATTTCTATTTATTTCTATTTATTTCTATTTATTTCTATTTATTTCTATTTATTTCTATTTATTTCTATTTATTTCTATTTATTTCTATTTATTTCTATTTATTTCTATTTATTTCTATTTATTTCTATTTATTTCTATTTATTTCTATTTAATTCTATTTATTTCTATTTATTTTTATTTTACCACAGTTTCCTGAAATTCGTTATTATTTATTTATGATAAGTAGCTACTATTCCAATTTTCAAGTTCCTACCTTTAAAAAGATCGATACCACCTACAAACTTTCACCCCCAATTTCCCCATTTAAAATGTAAAAATCCAAAAATCATTTATGATGAGTAGCTACAATTCCAATTTTCAAGTTCCTACCTTTAAAAAATCTATAGTCCCATACAAATGTTCACCCATCCATTTGCCCCTTAAATGGTAAAAATCCAAGAACCCTGTATTATTTCATTATTTCTTTAGGATGAGTAGCTACTTTCAATTTTCAAGATCCTACCTTTAAAAAATTCGATAATTCCATACAAACTTTCTGTTCCCCCTGTTTCCCCCTCTTAAAATGTGATGTTTATAAAATCCGTTTTTAGTGGGTTTCTACGTACAGGAAGGAATAACTATGCCAAAGTCAATCGGGCTTATAGTTTTTGACATTTCGTGATGAGTCCGTGATTGGTATAAGTCTTGGAAATTCCAATAGGTATTTTTTTAAAAGTACTTTAAAGATTTCCAGTCTACTTTCTGATTTTAAGTTAATAGGCAAATAATTAAAAATGTTGGGTCCTAAGAAACTGTAGCTTCTTTGGCCGATGGAGTTATGCATAAAAGGAACTAAATATTGGCTACGTCCTCTAATATCATATGGGTGATATTTATGTAAATATTAATTTGTGTTTAGTTTTGAACTGAGTTGTGGCAGTACTTAAAAAGAATATTTGCTTAATGTCAAAAATTTTCGTTTCGAAATAAAGTAAATGTGTAGAATAACGGGGTTCTTCTTTATACAGGGTGAGGCACCGAAAACGAAACAGATCGCATATCTTAAAGACACATTTTTTTTTGGAGAAAATGCAAAAAGAAGTCGATTTTTATTTCAAAGGGGACATCTTTCGATCATATCCTTAACTATCCTACATCCCTCCCCACCCCTCTGTCACTATTACCAATAAAATTGAAATAGGGAAAGTACTAAGTGTGACACATCATTCAAAAGGTAGTTTTATAAGGAATTTGACTGTGTGATATGTGACAGTTCAAATAAGCGTATTGTCATGTGAAAGCCAAATTTAAAAATTTAATTAATTACCTTTGGAATAAAATTGAACTTACTACGCCTATGTTTTCGTAAAATAAATAAAGGTTTTTATTTCCATAACTACCAGGTCTGTTTTTTAGTTTAGCGTCATTAATACTTCTAGTCTATTAGCACAGCTTATACAATAAGCTGTGCTATTAGCGAGTAAAACATAAAAATGGTTTATTCTATTCAGGAGAGAGTAGAAATTGCTGAATGTTATTTAAGAAATAACGAATGTGCTAACACTGCCTGTACAATTTTCAATGAGCGACACCCAAATAAACAGTTTAAACGTAAATACGTTTTGGAACTTATTTCAAAATTTCGACAAACAGGATCTGTTCAAAATAAAAAACGGTAGATTCAAAATCCAGTAAGAAACGAAGCCGTAGAGGTAGCCGTTGTTGCAGATCCAACTCTTAGTACAAGAAAGCTTGCAGAATTATCTGGAGTAAGTGACCGTACCGTCAGGAGAATTTTGAAAGTCAACAAATTGCATTCCTATAAAATTCATTTAGTTCAGGAACTTAACGAAAACGATTTTGATCGCCGCTTGCAATTTTGTGAAATCATGAGCGAGCATGCTATACAAAATCCACATTTTCTTTATAACATTTGTTTTTCAGATGAATGCAGTTTTTATGTTAACGGGACTGTCAATCGACAAAATTGTCGATACTGGTCAGATTCCAATCCAAGAGTTTTTCATGAAACGCATACTCAACACCCAGAAAAGTTAAACGTTTGGGCTGGAATATTTGGCGATCGTATTGTTGGTCCATTATTTTTACAAGGTACTTTAACTGGCGATATGTATTTGGAATTACTCGAAAACACCGTTGATCCACTGTTAACAGACATAATAGAAAACGATAACCGATACCTTGAAGATCACCTAATATTTCAACAGGACGGAGCTCCTCCACATTTTGCTGCAGCGGTTCGTCAGTACTTAATTGAAAACTTTCCTAGACATTGGATTGGACGAAGAGGATTTATTGAATGGCCCCCACGATCTCTTGATCTGTCCCCCTTTGATTACTTTGCATGAGGATATCTGAAAAGTAAAATATACGCCACTCGGCTAGGTTCCTTAGAAGAGTTACGTGAACGTATTATTATCGAATGTCGTCAAATAACTCCAGAAATGCTCCAAAACGTCAGACGTGTATGGAAGTTAATGAACAACACTTTGAGCATTTACTTTGAAGTAATTTAGTTTTTAATTATGGGAGTTGTCCTAAATTTTTCATTTTAATTTTTGTTCACTTTTCTATTATTTTTTTAATTTTTATTATGAATTGTCTATTAAATGAGTTTTACTTTCAAATGAAGTATCATTATTTAAAATACGGAAACTTTTCCCGCAAGATGGCGCCAAAATCAAAAGCTACGTAATAAAGTGTCACACAGTCAAATTCCTTATAAAATTACCTTATCAATGATGAGTCACACTTAGTACTTTCCCTATTTCAATTTCATTGGTAATAGTGACAGAGGGGTGGGGAGGATGCATTTTCTCCAAAAAAAATGTGTCTTCAAGATATGCGATTTGTTTCGTTTTCGGTGCCTCACCCTGTATTATTTTTATTAGTCGTTTCTGTAAGATTACTATTTTTTTCATTAAAACAAATAACTAAAATCATAGCCCACTATAGATAGGTCCGGCTGGAAATTATTCATCCTGTCCTCGTACAGACACCGGCCCTGATTATGTAACGGACGTTCCTCTTTCGGGCCTTTCTTCCATTATCGTTTCCGACCTTGCCGTCTGATTGATAAACCATAGCAGGAAATGAGCTGTTATTTTCCGCACCCTTATGAAGATGTCACGGAGATACAAATATAATGACAATCTGTGTCACGGTCGCCTTTACTAATTAAAATCGTTTCGGTAGTTTATCAGTCGTAAAGTCGTAAATTTTGCGCAAATTAATTATACAAATTGCTTTTTTTTTGGTTTAGAGAAAAAGTAGACACGATTTTTTTAAATCCATATATGCCTTTGACCATATTTTACGGTTAAAAATACTCTGTTATTTATAAATAGGTATCTATGTTTTAATTAAATTTTAGTCGTTTCCATTTAGAAAGTATGAAAATCCACTGGAGCCCAGTTCTTGACATGCATAATAAACTTTACCTAGTCGTTTTTGACATGAAAAAATATTATTGTTTGTCTTGAAAATAATTGTGAATGTACGCAAATTTGAATCAGAGTATGTTGAGAGAGTATTTCATAGGTCATGGGTTCGAATCTCACACAGGAACCTATTCTTGAATTTACAGGATTAGAAAGTTCAAGTGAAGAATGAGACAGAAATACAAATTATGTACATTCGAGATAGAAAAGAACTATTTTCTATTCCTTAGAATTCAAGAATAGCTATCCGTTTTTTTACAAATTCAATTGTCCATTTTTTCTCCGGTCACTTCTAAGGGACTCACAATTTTTTTCCGGAATTTCCTTCATTATTTTTCAATTGACTCGGCCAATTATAAACCGACAAACATTTTTCATTTCAACTTTCTAAAAATATATGACACACCCATACACTTTTTTGTTGCAATATAAAATAAATTGGCACGCCACTGCTCCAAAACAGATGGATCCACTCAAGTGCAATCAGGTAAATAACGAAAAATAATCCGAAACCGTTCTAAAAATAACTCAAAACCACATAAACTTACGTCGTACATCGATGAGTTCCACGGCAACGATCGGACTCAAATAATTTTTAACGTTCTTGAAGGGATAGTAGAAACTGGCAAATCCTTTGGGATAATAGTTGAATCCCTTTATGCTCTCCTTGTCTACGTCGTTGACGCCGTTACACGACACCCATATTCTGCGTTCGGTGGAGTTAGCAATTTCCAGCTAAAAAAAAAATAAATGCTCTAATACAGGCTGTTTCTTTTAACATGTGCTCAAATTCTATATTCTAAACCAGCGGTCTCCAAACTTTCCAGCCTTATGGCCATACTGATTACTCTAGTAAGTTCCAAGAACCAAAATGTTCATGCAATTAGAGAGTTATTGCAAGTTCACTTAAGGTCCGTCACTATTAGTGCCGCTCTTATTTTGACATCTCAGCATGCGCAGATCACTTACATTCTAGAACATTAAAAAAAGATGAACTATTTTAGGTTTGCAATAAGTTTGATTTTAGCATGGAATTTATTTGACTCTAATTACGATGTCACTATTAGTGGCTGGCGTTATAGAAATTTGCAATATCTCTCTATTATCTATAATTTCTAGACTAGTCGCCCAGTACGCGCCCTGCGCGAGCATAAGCTTACTAAATTCACTAGTTGAATTACTACGCGCTAGTTCAGTGACATTTAATTCTAACCAAACTTTTAACAGAAACATCAATAAATTTGACATATACGTTTTTACTGTTTTAATTTTATTTTTAATTATTGTTTACGTCATAAAAAATAGTTTAAAGGTATGTAATTTGTAACTAAACGATTGTATATTTGATGCATGTTATCTACTTACTTTAGGAATATATTTATAAAAGTGAAAAAACGATATAATTTAGGTAAACAAAACGAACAAAACGCACTCAAAAAAATCTAGTGTCACTTTAATTGTCAGTGGAACCATAATTACATCATCATCACTGGGGTGCGTTCAGAAATATGGAAGGTTTTATCTGGACGAATTACCTCAGCCGTTCCTATTTAAAAGAAAAACGCGTCGGGATGAAGAAATTTTACCCACCGTGTTTAGTAGGTTAATTTTTACTCGACTTGCGCAGTATGTCATAACTCTAATTAACCTAAGAGAACCGCCCAGTATTTAATTTCTTATTTTTACTTTTTGATTAAAAAATATTTAAATATGAGTATGAGTTAGAGAATTAATTCAATCAATTATCGTCTAGTTATTAGAAACGATAGTAATTTCATTATAGAAAATGATAAAATTTTATGACAAAGGATTAAAGGTAATGAATTGAATTTTTACATAAAAAAGTATATCCGGACGTCAATGATGTTACCTATTTACTAATTTTTGATAATTCCCACAATCTCAGATAACAGAAAAGACATAACCAAAAACTTGATTTGACAATACTTTGCACTTACCGTTCGTATTTATCGGGCAAAAATAAACGTTCCGACGAATTTTGTCCGGACGATTGAAAATTTGACGCTCTCGATTTCTGAACGCACCCCTGAACTAGCGCATTAGCGATTCAAATTAATTTTCGCGCGTCTGTCATTTGTCACCTATAAGTAGGATGTTTGTTTATTTACATTGTTTGTTTTGGGCGGATTTTGTATTTGTGATTTTTTAACTGTTTTTAGATAATATTCTCATTGTAATAGTGTTTTTGAGTTTCATTTAGTGTTAATTTAAGTTTAGTTTTCGTGCTTGTCAAATGTTGCCAAATTTTTTTTTTTTTTTTTTCGATTTATGGCCTAGGTGTATATACCTAATATGCCAGTCTCAAATTTGTGTTTAAATTCTCAATCATGTGTGTTCTGTGTAGGCTTTGTTACTGTTTCCCAGCGCCACTTTAGGAACAGCACTGTTAATTAGAACCCAACAGTGAATGGTCGAGTGGGGAATCCTACCAAGGCATCAGAATTAATTTTAAATAATTAAATTAAATGAAAAAATTCCGGCCAACGGTGGGATTCGAACCTGGGACCCTTGGATCCACAGGCACAGGCTCTAACCACTGAGCCACCCACCCCCCGTTGCCAAATGATGAACTGATTTTAAAACAAAATTAATAAATGAACTGAAATTTGAAAAAAATCAATATAATCGGTTTTATAAAAAAAATCCTTAAATAAATATAGAGTTTGATTACATATTACTAGACACAAATTTTGATTCTTAAATAAAAGGTCTTATCCACTTCTTCAAGTGCTAAAATCCGACGACGTAGCGAAATTTTACTACTTCTGGCAACACTGAACGATTTCCTACTTATAGGAACCTTCTACAAATTTCCTTCAGAGGGCGTATCACTTAGTTTGAATCGCGAATTGTGTATTGTTACGACCGTCCACATACTTTGATTTTCTCTTAATATACGGAGAATGGCCGCACGGCGCAGCTTTCTGAGTGCCTTTTAAAAGGAGATAGAAAACTCCGCCATTTTGATCCCTCATTACGTGTTGCCTACATCTTGGCGCAATATTTTTAATATTTTATAGCTGTTGTATGGAGTGTTTTGCTCGTTTCGCTGTTTATCGTGATTTTACCATTTTCTTTGTGTTTACATAAACCTCAATGAACATGTTTTGAGGATTTATATATCATTTTGTGTTTTAGACGTGATTTACACCATTATTTTTAATTAATTGGTGATTGTATGTTAATTTTTAGTAAAAGCAGCGTTATTTAGTGACGGACAAAAAATGTCACAAAGTAATTATAACTTTAATTAAAGGAGTTTTGTTTTTATTAATAAAAAAACGTCTTTTATTCATTAAACCTAGGCCATTTCTTGTACTTGCCTTCATTGTCACAATACCAGGATGTATAGACTACCAGTTTAACATTTAGGAAATATGTATATGTGTTGCCTAACCTAGTAGTAAAGGCACAGTTTATTGCTAAAGAATCAGTTAGCTCACTCGGACCAATTGAATGTTCCAAAATAACATCCACTCCAGGGATACAAATTCAGGATGCGCAGAAGACTCCTGTTTGAATATAGGCGGTTGTCTTATTTTGTATTATCTGAGTTGCGCAGTGTATAAACTGGAACATTGGGATCAAAAGTGCCGACGCAGAGTGAGCGAAGTGATTCTTTAGCTATAAACTATGGTAAATGCATCAAAATGGCCGCGCCCTATGTTGGGCGTGTCGGACCTCTCGCTTGCACCGTATAGTAATCAAAGTATGTGCGACCGTCACACTGGACGAAATCTGGTGTTCAAAAGCGAAAATATGTAGTGGTATTACCCTTTATCGCTAACAGATGGCGCTAGTAGTACTTTCGAAATCGCAGTAACAATTAAACATTAGTATTTTGAATTGACTTGTTGTTTTTGTGTGTGATTTACTAGTATGCAGAACATTCAAAGATCAATGGAACTTTCAATATTTCCTGATTGAGTCCAGTAATAAGGCAATGAAACCATAGCCGTTCTCAAAGAATATAACACTAAACGTCATTATGAAACGAAACATTTTCAAAATTACTTAAAATATACAGGAATTATGCGGTCAGAAAAATTTGAAGCTTTGAAATTGTTAAAATGTAAGTGCTTATTTAATTTATTTACAATTTTTGTAACTATGGAATATTTATTGGAGTTCCCTGTTTTTACAATTTCCATATCGAGGAAATTTCTGAATAAAAAACTTTTTTTTTAAATTCGCAAATTTAAATCTGAAACGTCAGAGAAATATCTGAAATAAGTGGGTGGCTTCATAATTTGAAAATTTGGAAACAAATCTCAAAAATCACCCTACGAAATATTAAGACCATCCCCGAACCCCAAAGGTGAAAACAAATACTTGGTGATTTGAAAAAAAGTCTGCCGCAGCCGGGGATCGAACCCGGACATCCACATTTGTTAACATATTGTGCCCTTTCCTCTAGACCAGGCCTGCATAACATACGGCCCGTGGGCTGCATGCGGCCCGCCATTGTCATTTTGGCTTGCATTTAGGCATCATTTTTGTTTTGTTTTTTAGAAGCTCGACCAGCCGGAGTTGGTTTATAAATGACCTTTTTTTTTGTAGGAAAGCTCGACAGAATTATAACGAAAGGACCTTTTTTTAGAATCTGAACAGATCACTATAGGCTCAGGCCTCTCTTGGCCCTCGTACACTCACGGTTTTTCAAAATGGCCCTTTGAAAACTCTGAGTTGTGCAGGCCTACTCTAGACCATCCATGACATTGACTGTTAAGATTCCTAGACATAAATTTAATGTGCTAGTTCTGGCCAGATGGCATTCAGGCTCGTTCTCAAATCTTCAAATACCTCTCTACAGCATCTCCAAGTATTTGTTTTCACCTTTGGGGTTCATAATTCATAGGGAGAATTTGAGATTTGTTTCGGAATTTTTAAATTATTCATTTCCAATATTATTCGTACCCGAAATAAAAACAAAACATAAGAAAATAAACTCACCTTCTCGATATAACTGCTCAATTCCTGAGGCATTCCCTTTTGCGGGCTAGTGAAATATTTCGGTTTCCAATCGATGATCTAAAAAAGACATTTACGAACACTTAATAACTAAAATTGAAAAACTTCAATGACATCAATCTTTTTGACTTACTCGATTCAACTTGAGGAAGATGCAAGGCGACATGCCCCCGTACCCGTACTTGCGTTCCGGACTGCAATTCTCAAATTGATCGGGGGTGGCTCTGCATACCTCGCCTTCCGGAGGCGGGCTGGTGAAGTTACAATCGACAAAGTTCTTGTCGCTTTGGTTCTGCCTGTAAGCTGAAAGCGAAAATCGGAGGTGTATCAACTGAATAATAAATTATTAATATCTCAAAATTGATGCTTTTGCCAACTATTTCGAACCCAAGGGAAGGTGAAGAAATTGAAATGGATAATCAAGAGGAAGTTAGTGATGTAGAGAAAATATTATTAATTAGTCCTAAAAAGTACAAAGAGAAATAATATTATAATGTAAAAACAAGCTCGCTTCTACCTGTGATATCGAAAAATTGCTCTTGAATAAGATAATCGACCAAAAAACAACTTATCCCGTCCCATCAATCCGGATTTCGGGATAAATATTCTACGATTGATCAGATCCATCGCATAATAAATAAAATTGAGAATTATATAAAGAACGGTGTAAGTCCCTGCCATGTTGTGGTACTACCGTAGAATTTTCAATAGAGAGTTTAATCTACGTTTTCACAAATCTCACACTGATACTTGCTTAAGGTGCGATAGTTAGCAAAATATTATTAAACATTCAGCCAATGAAGACAGTGTGAAATCAGCTAAGATATTATTAGAAGTCCATCAAATAAAGGCGGATAAAGCATCTAAAGTAAAGGATTTATACATTACAGTGTACAAGAACTTGACGAGTACTGCTGTAGTTTGCTTCGATTTACAACAAACATTACCTACTCCGTTATTAACAACATCAAAGGTCTTTTATCTGAAAAAAACTTTGGACGTACAATTTTTGCGTCCATAATTTGATTACTGGTGAAGCTTACATGTACACTTAGGATGAAACTGTAGGTGGCAGAGGATCACAAGAAATTGGTTCTTGTTTAATACATTTATTAAGCAATTGCCCCCCAGGCCCCCAATGTTACCAAACTCATAGCATACAGTGATTCATGTGGGAGGCAAAATAAGAATAAAAATATATGCTAATTATTTATGTTTCTAACTAAAGCTACCCACCTAGAAGAAATTCATCATAAGTTTTTAGAACCGGGCCTTACATACATGGAATGTGATAGAAACTTCGCTTTAATTGAGAAAAATAAGAAAAAGAATCCACAAGTATTCATACCTGATCAGTGGAGGACAGTGATTGCTCGTTACTCAAAGAAATATATCGTGTGTAATATGACTCAAGAAATGCTTTACTCCTTTGAAAATTTAGACAATTTAATAAAAGATTGCAAAAACGACTCCGAAGGAAAACCATTAAAATTTAGGGAAGTCGCTTATTTTAAATATGACAAAGATATGGAAACATTTTCATTTGAGTTTAAACATACTCTAGATAGTTCGTATCCATTTTCAAAATGTGCTTGCGGATCACGTTTCGTCGGACGTCCATCGTTTTCCTTAGAATCAACACTGCAGCAATCTAACAAATCCCCAAAATGGAATAATCTCCAGAGCCTTCTGGAGAACATTCCACCCATTTATCATGGGTTTTACAAAAATCTAAAGGGAAGAAAGCACAAAATACCAAAACAGCAACTACTAAAAATTCAGAACAAGGTCTCAGTAATTCTAACAATGGAGAAAATGTAGAATCGGATGGTGAAGAAGACTTGGATGATCATGACCTTGATTCGGATTATGAATCATAAGTTGTATTTCCTTTAATAAACATGCTTATATTAAAAAAAGAATTAGTTTTATCTGACCAACTTTAACAAAATTACTATTTTCGTTTGTGCAAAAAGTGTATAAGTACATGAAATTCAAAATTTTGGCTGAATTAATTTTTATTTTTAAACTTCACTTTATTTATAAGATTTTGCCTTTTTTTTAGCCACACATCTTAACACTAAGACAATTTCTTTGTCATAGAATTTTCAAATAACAATTAATTTTAAAATCTAATTACTCAAAACTATATAATCTGCACTTATACCCTTTTTGCTCTAATCCCTTCAATTTCCTAGCAATACTCCAAAACCGAATTCTCCGGAACATAGTTAATGTTCCTTGGTATGTTCGGAATAAAGACCTGTACCGACAACTCCACGTTGAAGAAATTCCAGAAGAAATTCCAGAAGAAATTCCAGAAGAAATTCCAGAAGAAATTCCAGAAGAAATTCCAGAATAAATTCCATAAGAAATTCCAGAAGAAATTCCAGAAGAAATTCCAGAAGAAATTCCAGAAGAAATTCCAGAATAAATTCCAGAAGAAATTCCAGAAGAAATTCCAGAAGAAATTTCAGAAGAAATTCCAGAAGAAAGTCCAGAAGAAATTCAAAATAAATTCAAAAGAAATTCCAGAAGAAATTCCAGAAGAAATGTCAGAAGAAATTCCAGAAGAAATTCCAGAAGAAATTCCAGAAGAAATTCCAGAAGAAATTCCAGAAGAAATTCTAGAAGAAATTCTAGAAGAAATTCCAGAAGAAATTCCAGAAGAAATTCCAGAAGAAATTCCAGAAGAAATTCCAGAAGAAATTCCAGAAGTAATCCCAGAAGAAATTAAGAAAATTGCCAAGATATATGGGGAGAGGCTCCACAAACACATCAACATGAAGTATTCCAACTTTTAGGCAATCAGACTTAAGAGTCAAAGCTTTTGACAGTAAGTGGTGATCGTGATGATCGAGATAGAGCAGAGTTGCTATGGGCCACAATATCGAAGTGTGCAGAATATGTTAATAACTAGTATTGAACACAGGTGGAATCTAGATTTAAAATGCTGGTAAATCTTGTAAGATTAGGTGCATTCGGACATTCGGGAGCGCGAATTTCCAAACGGGTGTGCTCACTTCGCTCCCTATTTCCGATAGCAATTAGGACATGGGTGGGACGAGTGTAGCGTGCTTTTATGGTGTAGGCGTAAAAAGAGCGCGCGTGAATTTCTAAATGTCGGCCTAGCGTGCTTTCTTCTAAGGTAGTAGAATTGAGGGGTAGGAGGACGAGCGTCGAGCGTGTTCTTATGGTGTAAGTGTCTCAGAAAACTTTTTAATTTTTTGAATTCTGATAGGTTTACAAAAAATGTATCAGATAAGTTAAAAACTCCCAGGCCGGATATTTTGGTAAGTAATAGAGATATTTTAATTTTGTAAAAGCCAGTTCATAGAGCGCTAAGAGAGCTTCAGTTTTAGATATTTTTAAATAGGTCAATATGTAGATGGCGCTGCGCTCAATATAGTTTTTTCGATGGGAGGATCTTTCTTATATAACGCATCTTGTAAAAAATGCATTTCTAAGCAGATTTTGTTCTATAAACTAATTCGATAAATCTGGCCATTTTTGATATACAGAGTGGGTCACTCAAAATAGTTTCATCCTGTTTTTCGGCATTAATCATTGGATTTTTAGAAAATGCTAAAACAAGTCGATTTTTATTTCCAATTGTACACATTTTTACAATACAGACATCTGTCATGTGTCAACCCCCTCCCTTCTACTTCTCCAACCCCTTAATTTTAAATAAGGAATGTATCATGTACGGCACATCATTAAAAAGGTAATTTTATTAAGTCAGAAATATGATTGTTGCGATTTTTTTTAATTTTAGCGCCCTCTGTCGGGATAAAACACCTGTAATGTATTATTAAGTAAGACACTTATGAAAAGCTAATTTAATTACTAATTCAATGCACAACATAACGTTAATATAAATATTTTCATATTGCACTTGCAACAAAATAAAGATAGCAATAATGTTTAAAATAATGCATGAATAATTTTCAAACTATTGCAGGTGCAATATGGAGGATATTTATATTAATGTTATGTGGTGCATTGAATTAGTAATTCAATTTGCTTTCAAATAAGGTGTCACACTTTATAATACGTAGTTTTTTATCCCGATAGAGGGCGGTACAATTAAAAGTATTGCAATGAACAGTCATATTTCTAAATTCCTTATAAAAATACCTTTTTAATGATATACTACACATTATAGTCTCACACTCTATAATACGTAGTAGTTTTTTATCCCGCTAGAGGGCGATAAAATTTAAGTAACGCAATATACAGAAATATTTCTGAATTCTCCATTAAATTACCTTTTCAATGATGTGCCATACATGGTACATTACCTATTTAAAATTAAGGTGTTGGAGAAGTACAAGGGAGGGGGTTGACACATGACATAAAAATATTTTTAATTTGGAATAAAAATCGACTTGTTTTAGCATTTTCTAAAAATCCAATGATTAATGCTGAAAAACAGGATGAAACTGTTTTGAGTGACCCACTCTGTATATCAAAAATGGCTAGATTTATCGAATTAGTTTATAGAACAAAATCTTCTTAAAAATGCATTTTTTACAAGATGCGTTATATAAGAAAGATCCTCCCATCGAAAAAAATATATTGAGCGCAGCGCCATCTACATATAGACCTATTTAAAATTAATTTATATCTAAAACTGAAGCTCTCTTAGCGCTCTATGGACTGGCTTTTACAGAATTAAAATATCTCTATTACTTACCAAAATATCCGGCCTGGGAGCTTTTATTGGTACACCCTGTAGGTATAAGAGTACGCAAAACTAGTAAATATATATTTAGGCGTAATTTTGAAATAATGGTCAAACCAGTATATTTCTTATTAACTTATACTGATAATTTGAATTATTTTATTAAATTTTTGTTCATAAACCTGTCAGGAATCTAAATTTTACATTACTTTTGGTACACTCTGTATATACATTTCGACTTCTAACTATCTTATAACTAGCATTTCAAATTTCTCAAATATTTGTTATTTAAAAAATATTTTTAGGTAACATGGAAGTAGATTTCAAATTTATTACCTATTTCACCTACTACCTATTAATTTACTCCAATAATTTTCAGATGTGTTTAATTTATTTTAAATTAAGAAAAATTAAAAAGTTGTATAGATATTTGTAATGGGTTGCAACTGAATTGCTGAAAACATCCAGGGGGTGACGTAACGCATCCCGTTCGCTGGGGATTCTTTGGAAAAGATAGGGGGAGAAGAGCATTGTTCTGTGGATTTGACCAAAAACTTACGTATTAAAAAATCGTCGACAAATTTGATCCATTTTTCCGACGTGGTAGCGTTAGTAACGTTGTACCAAATCAAAGATCCTTCCTCTGTTTTATTCGAAATGGGTCTGAAGCCCAAACCGGGATTGTCGCCTATGAGACTGCTGCCCAGCTTCCATTTAGGTTCTCTTTCGTGTAAGGTGGCGAACAGCCCTTGCATGCATATGGCGAATAACGCTGCTAGTACTATGTAGAAGATGGAGTAGAATACCAGAAGTTGGCCTGAAATAGAGAACATATAAATTAGTTTTAGTTATGTATAAAAAATAGGATCAAAAGAATTATTAATAATTGTATACGTACAGTAATTTTTGTAAGTTCGCCGAATTTTAAATAGTTATATTAATAATAGTTTAAAGTAGTTAATATTGATTCTGACATTTTGACAGTATCCAACAGTTGTCAAAATTATAAGGTGCATATAAATACGTGTGACGTAATTTGTGCTCCACTGACTTAACTCTCAACAAAAAAAAAAATTGTTCTAATAATGAATTTTATTTGTTGCACTAGTGTCACACTCGACACTGTATTCGAACTGTCATACTTGTCAAAAGTATATGCTACGCACATACTTTGATTTTCTTTTACTATACGGAGAATGGTCGCACTGCGCAGCTTTCTGAGTGCCTTTTAAAAGGAGATAGAAAACTCCGCCATTTTGAACCCTTATTACGTGTTGCCTACATCTTGGCGCAATATTTTTAATAGGTGCGTTTTAATCATTCGCTTCTGCTTCGGAATTGTCGGTTTTCTTGTTTTAATCTGACAGGTTAAAACGACTAAACCGACAATTCCGGAAGCAGAAGCGGATGATTAAAACGCACCTGATATTTTGCTTGCTTCTGTCAGTGTCAGTGAATATTATTTTTGAAGTCACAGTTTATTGCTAAAGAATCAGTTAGCTCACTCGGACCAGTTGAAGTTTCAAAATAACATCCACTCCAGGGATACAAATTCAGGATACGCAGAAGACTGCTGTTTTATTATAGGCGGTTGTCATATATTGTATTATCCGAGTTGCACAGTGTATAAACTGAAACATTGAGATCCAAAGTGCCGACGCAGAGTGAGCGATCTGATTCTTTATCTGTAAACTGTGTCACAGGGTTCAAAATGGCCGTGCCCCACATACTTTGATTACTATACGAGGCAAGAGAGAGGTCCGACACGCCGAACATAGGGCGCGGCCATTTTGTTAGAAATATTTAACTTAATTTGAAAATTCGGAAAAAATCTCAAAAATCCCCTTACAAATTATTAAGACCATCCCCAGACCCCAAACGTGAAACCAAGTATTTGCCATTGTCGGGAGTCGAACCCAGATCTTTACGTTTTCCGGACGTGTGCCCTTACCGTGAGGCTATCAACAACATTGACTGTCCTAAACGGAAATTTAAGATGCTAGTTCTAGCCAGACAACGTTCAAGCACTGAATATACTGAAGTGTAACTCTCGAGAAATTACATAAGAACGCTGTGGCTAATTTTGGTAACCTTTAGCCATCGAATTGGGTTACTTTCGATAACCGGCTTAGCACAAACGGACTGGTCAGAGTCGGTTTGGTTTTAGTAATCGCATTACAACAGATTAGACTCGATACTCGACTTCTCAAATTGGCAACGCTGAGTGATAATAAATCTTGTCAACATCGTAGCGGAACCCTAAACAATGGCGATTTGATGAGCTCCAACTGAGATGCGCGGATTCTTCCCGCCAAGGTGAGTTACCCTTCAGTGTGTTCAGTGGTTCAGGTTTCTTCTCATATTTACAAATACCTCCAATGCAGCATCGGTGTAATGAGAAATGCATTTAAATACATACTAAGCTCATTCTTCCATTGCGTGAGTTAAGTTTTCAATGTACGTTAAGCGACGTAAACCTGAGTATGACAATTATGGCACACACTATACGAGCCCTAACAACTATATGTTGGAACAAGCAGTTATTTTACGAATAAAATGCCAATTTGCCGAAATTCTTTTATTCTATTTTTTTTTAATGTAAATATAAATTTAACAATATTTTTTATGATGTACGGAATTATTTTTACGGTTTAATTATATATTTTATGTTGATTACTATTTAATTACTTGTTTGACAATCGAAAAATGTTGACAACTAAATATTGGAACGAGTGCTTTTTAACAAATTAAAATAAAAATTAATAAGGCGTAACGTCGCCCTTAGCTCGAATAACAGCCTGAACCCTATTAGGCATTGTACCAACCAGGCCTTCACAGAATTCAGGGGTGAAACTATCCCATATTTCTTGCAATTTAGCACGTAGTTGTAGTAAAGTACGCTGATGATTATTTCTTAGGCGTTGTTTCATTTTGTGCCAAAGTGTCTCTATTGGATTAAGATCCGGGCTACTAGAGGGATGTGACAAAACTTTAATGTCAAGTTCTCCCATCCATTTTTTAGTAGATTTAGCCGTATGGCATGAGGCTCCGTCCTGTTGAAAGATAAAATCTCCGGATGGATATAACTTTGCTACACTTGGTAAAAGCGAATGTTCAAGGATATCTTGATATTTGGCTGCGTTTACTATGCCATCAATAAAGTATAATGTTCCCAACCCTTTGACCGACATACAACCCCACACCATGATGCCCTGCAGAAACTTTACAGTCCTATTGAAACAATCCTTATGGAATGCTTCTGTTTTTTCCCGAATCACATGCTTTCGGTAATCTCCCACACAGATATCAAATTTGCTTTCGTCGCTATAGATTACTTGGTCCCAGTTATATTTGGTCCACGAAAGTTTTGATTTAGCCCAAATGTAACGATTCCTTTTTTGAGTTTCCGTCAACAATGGGTTTTCTTCGGCCTATTCGAATAATTTAAAAATTAGAAAATTTATACTGCAAAGAAGAACCTATTAAACATACCTTATAAAAACTAAGACCGCTCTTGTGGATATATTTTCGACAGAATTCTCTGGAAACATTTATCCCAGTTTCTCTATTCCACCTTGCGGTTACTTCTCGTAGTGTATTTCTTCTTCCCGACTTACATATTCTAATTAAATGCCTTACACTTCTTTGAGAAACAGCTTTTGGCCGGGCGGAGCTTTTACCCCGAACATCAATACTGGCAGTTTCACCATATCTCTTAATTATATTAAACACAGTATGTTATGTTGAGAATGGGGTGTTAATACACTGCGTCCTAAAAGATCTATTGTGCCCCCTTCTGTCGCCACTGCACTAAAGAAATGTCTCAATGCCTATAGCGACCCTTCCAATCCTATTTTCTCAAGGAAGTGTAGGATTTGAAGTGGCTTCAAGTTAGGTAAATCTCCCTCTTCTATTTGATATCCTCCTAGATATAGTGCCCTTGGATTCTGGAGTGCTACACATTCAGTTAGAATGTGAATGAAGGTTTCGTCCTCCTCCTCACAGAATCTGCACTCACTATCCTCTACTACTCTCAGTTTACTTAGGTGTCCTTTTAGTCGGCAATGCCCGGTAAGGATCCCTGTTACAACACAGTAGTTGTTGCTATATTCAATTCACTGGAAATTTCACGCATTGTTTTACCTTTATGGTATTGATTAATAATAATTTCTCGCACTTTTTGATCAGTAGGTTTTCGACGTATCATTATTGTATTTTACTGTTAATAAAACTGACAGTTGTTAATTATTAATACTCAAATGACCCTTGACAATTATTGTTGATAACACACTACTTACTCGTATGTTTCATTTCAAAGCCTCCTTCGCGTTAGGATGATAAAACTCAAGAAACCTAAGGCAAAGCTAAATATGTTCCAATATTTAGTTGTCAGCATTTTTCGATTGTCAAACAAGTAATTAAATAGTAATCAACAAAAAATATATAATTAAACCATAAAAATAATTCCATACACCATAAAAAATGTTGTTAATTTCATATTTACAATTAAAAAAAATTAGATTAAAAGAATTTCGTTAAATTGGCATTTTATTCGCAAAATAACTGCTTGTTAGTAGATGGGATTAGCCAGTTCTGGACCAAGGTCAGAGGCAAGGTCAGAGGCAATTGGTGTAATTAGTAATTACCCTAAGTACCCACCCCCCACCCTTCGAGCAAGTACCCCCCACCCTTCGAGCAAGTACCCCCCACCCTTAGCGCAATTAGCAAGTACCCCCCCACCCTTCGCGCAAATAGCAAGTACCTCCGAATTACTCTGTACACCATGTTATTGCATAGTGTAATGAGTGTAATTGCATAGTGTAATGAGTATAGTAAGTACCTCTCAGTACACACAGTGATGTAAGGACCAACCAATTATTCTGTACTGAGTGTAATTACATAGCGTAATGAGCATAGTAAGTACCTCTCATTACACCATATGCATACCTCTCAGACAGTATTTACTGTGTATATCACGTAGTGTAATAAGTCTAAGTACTTCTCTTGTTTACTGTTGTAGCATAGGGGAAATAAGTCGGCGCCATGCACACCCTTGACTCTCAACCGCCATAGCTAAAGTGAATCACCGGTCTTCGGCAGACACGCGCGATGTAAATATTGTTGGAAGGGGTAGTATCCCAACCTTCGCGCAATTAGCAAGTGCCTCCCAATTATTCATTAAATTATATACTTTAATGAACGTAATTGAGTAGTGTAATGAGCATAGTAAGTACATCTCATTACTCTATACACCTTGTAAGTACCGCTAAAATAGTCATTACTATTTACCTCCTAGTGATTACTATTGTATTCTATATTACATACTATGAATATTGAGAAGGAAAATATAGTGGAGGTGGGGATTTTTAGGGAGGATATATAGCGACCTCATATCCAAATGGAATCAGTTTAAAATCGTAAGCTTTAAGAGTCTTTAGAAGTTTCAAATAATAACTGAGTGTAGTATTGTGTAGTATTGTGTATTATACAGGTAAAAAAAATATTTATTTGTATTCTACTATGGCTCAAACGCAAATTGATGCGGTTAATAAATTACTTGGAGACTGGCCCACAATATTGGACCAAAGAGAACTAAAGTCATTGGTTATAGGTCAACTTTATATTATTAAAACGATATTGGTCAAAGATACCAGATATGGTAAATGTTTACTTATTCATTTAATTGATCGGCACTCACAGGAGCTTTTCCAGTGTTGGTTACCGAGACGCATTTTTGAAATAATGCCACCCGAAGTCATTGCTATGATAAATGATTCTACTGGCCAATATGCCATGGCCTATTTAGGGGAAAAGCCG